CTTCCTCTCTCCTGCAAAAAGAAAAGAAACCCAGTTGTCAGCCATTTTTTCTGAAGCCCGTTAAAGAGGGGAGGGCGAGAGCCACGAGAAAAAAGGAAAAGAAAGAGGGGGAAAATAAAGAAGAAGAGGGAGCCCCCCTCCTAAATCTCCCTACACCCACCCCTCCGACCACCCTCCACCCTCCGAAGTTAGGACAAAAACATTGTTGTGTCAAGTCACAGTGTGTGACATAATACCCCAAAGCAGCTTCGAGTGCGGGTAAATATGCCATTTGGCAGTAGAAGCCAGAGTGCAAGTGGAGCATGTTGACAGGGGTTTATTTAAGAATGAATTAAAAACGCAGCGCCGCGGCCCTAAAGGAGGCCACCACTGTTACTTCGTTGACCTCTTCTAAAAGGGTCCTCGCTAGCCAACCCTAAATAACTGCACATCATATCTAACTCTGATTGGAGGTCAGCACCGAGGTGGGGGTTTGATTGGTCGAGTGTGGCCAGCAGCAAGATCTGTTTCATAAAGTTGATGTGGACAGGCCAATAGGAAAGACAAATTACATCTATTAGAGATCTCAAATGTTTCGCACATTAAACAGACAACAATTGAAACAATTGAATTTTTTCTCAGAAAAAAGACTGGTTAAAGTCTCAGTAATCTCACGTGTTTTTGTGTAGTTTTATTCATATTTTTGGAATAGTTTTGAGTATTTTTATTATTTATATTTTATTTATTGTTTTAAGAAAAATACCCCAATAATCATTCATGGGAATTCTTGAGAAACTGTAAAGCAGCAGTGAGATCAAATTGTCATTTATATTTTTGAATTATTTTTATGTTTTATGTATTTTATGTTTTGAAAGAGATGACATCTCGCACTATGATCATATTTAATCAGAGATTTTAATATTTTTTTCAAATACTTTTGAAAAAACCTAATTTTGAAAAAACCTAATTTCTGTTCACAATTATTTATATATGCTCTTACTTTGACAAAATTTGTATTTCTCTTCTCTTTTACCAGTTTCATTTCAATTTATTTATTTATTTTTGCCTCTTATGTCTTTTGTAAATTACTACACTTTGTTCCTTACTTCCTGCCATCTCCATCAGTGTCTCCTGAGCTTCTCTCAGCATACAGTGGCAGTCTCAGTCTGTCTTCAGCTCTGGATCCGCCAAGTTCAGTAACATGATTCCCTCTGACCCTTCGTGCCACGCTGGCCCGTTATTTTCCCATAATGAACCCTCACCCGCGGGCCCCCCTCCTTCCTCTCTCCTGCAAAAAGAAAAGAAACCCAGTTGTCAGCCATTTTTTCTGAAGCCCGTTAAAGAGGGGAGGGCGAGAGCCACGAGAAAAAAGGAAAAGAAAGAGGGGGAAAATAAAGAAGAAGAGGGAGCCCCCCTCCTAAATCTCCCTACACCCACCCCTCCGACCACCCTACACCCTCCGGCCCACCCCCCCACGACCCTGCTGAATTAAAAAATGCTCTTGTTATTAAAGGCGATGTCAGGAGTGTTGATCCTGTCTAACTCAACAGCACAATGGAACTGTTGTTGGACCCGGCCATCCGCGGCCTCCCTCATATTTTCTTTAAAGGTGCAGCACTCACCAGCGAATGCCACAAGGCTTTGGGAGAGAGAGAGATAAGATGAAAGTAGGTGAGCGAGAAGAAAGAAGCAACTCATGTTCACGTTTGAAATCTGGATGTGTTTTTCACTCCCTGCTTAGATGTATGGATGGAAGTTATAAAGCATTTTTTCCCCCTGTTTGTACTCCAAATCTTTTTTTTAACCTCCACTGTTCGTGAAAGCAATAAAATTGGCAAGTCAGACTCAATAGATTCTCCAGCCACAGAACGGAGCCTCTCCCCTGTTGCTCAGAGAGACTCGCCGCCCCAGACACTCTCATTCTGGGTCCGTTTAGTGCCGCCAGTCTCCGGTCCCGCTGCTGAGCTCAGTGCATCATGATTAAGACCAGCCGTACTGACCACTTGTTCATCACTAGGTATTGTGCCTTTCTCCTTAAAGGAATAGTTCACCCAAAAATTATGATTTTTTTTCTCTCCCCTATTTCATTCCAAACTCATAATATTACTTTTTTTTTTTTCAGTGCAGCACAAAATGAGATTTTAGAATATCCAAGCAGCTCGTTTCCATGCAATGAAAACAAGCTCCAAAAAGGCAAAAATTGAAAAAAGAATTAATATGAAAGTATTGTAAAATGGTCCATACAATTTGTGTACTACATTCCAGGTCTTCTAATATTTCAAATCCCTGTCTTTTCCTCACATACTGTATTGTCTTTCCAAATTTCTTTTCAATTTTCTTTTCAGTGCAAAACAGACACCAAAAAGTGATTTATAATGGCAAAAATGAAAAAAAAAAAACATAATAAAAGTTCCTGAAAGTAATTTATAATGGCATAAATTACAAAAACATTAAAATATCATAAAAGCATGGCCTTTAATATACACTTTATGTATTATATTCCAAGTCTTCTAAAGTCGTTTGATAAATTTCCATTGCTTTTATGTTACTTGTATGTTTTTTCTTTATTTTTGTCATTATAAAACACTTTTATGAATGTAAGAAAATAAGTCATGTGCTTTAATGGTGTTTTTTCATCGTATGGAAAAGAGCTACTTCGACATTCAGCTCGGCGTCTTATTTTGTCTTTCACAAGAAAAAAAATATAGGGTTGAAATTACATGAGTGTGAGTAAATGATGGTCCATGAAAGAAAGCATGAGACAAATCTAAGGTGGTTTTAGCATAATAGTTAAGGCTGTACTGGAAACACAAATTTAGGGGTGGTCCTATTTAGGGGTGACCCAGTCACTGCCAAATTACTGATATCACAATCTATCACTATTGCACCCCTGAGCAAGGCACTTAACCTCTGGTAGTTCCAGAAGGGGCTGTGCATTAAATTAGTGCACTGTAAATTGCTTTGGATTAAATGTATGCACTAAACAGCTACCATTTAATCCAAATAATTGTGGCATTTATGAAAATCAAAGAAGAGTTTATTAAAGTGGTAATCAGTGCGGCAGTTTTGTTCAATTGTTGATCATTGTTGCCAGACAACCATCTGGTCCAAGTTGTCTCTGGTTGTGTGTGTGTGCATGTCTGTAAGTAATTCACACCACATGCCATCAGTAGACTGTATATTCTCAAAGCTAGTCGTAGCTGGGAGGTGCTGCCGGTCACTTTAGCATATCCAGCCCTCCGCTGAGGTCATGTGCGCAGATGGAGGGGGGTTGGGGGGTTCCTGCACAGCATGTGTGTGTGTTCACAGACGTGTGTGTGTGTGTGTGTGTGTGTGTGTGCACGGTGCTCAATCGCGACCTCAGCAAAAGTAGCAAGTGCTCTTGATGCAGATGGTTTTCATCACACCGACCACTGCATGTTCTCTCTCTCATGTGCCGATTGTATTGGGGGCCTCTCGCCTTTTTTGGCCCCCTCTCTCTCTAAACCCGCCACCACCCCCTCTACAATAAAAAAGACAGAGGTGTATCTCTCTTAAAAGGATTGGCACCATTTATTTAGAGGGTCCTGGACTGGGCTTTGTAATACACCCTCCCACACATGTAGCCAGTAAGTACTTCTGCAATTGATATAATGGCTATTAGCACTAACAGTCTTACTGATATCAGATCAGTGCTAAGTGACCATGTTTTAAAGGGATAGTTCACCCAAAAATGAATATTCTGTCTTCATTTACTTAACTCATAAGACTTACTGTCTTCTGTAAAACTGTCTTATGAATATGCACGCTGCTTTTCCCCTCCAACAATAGCAGAAAGTGACCAGGCATTGTCAAGCTTCAAAAAAAAATAAAAATAAAAATTGGTCTGTACTTTTTTTTTGAAGCTCTAAAATCTAATTTAGGTTTGACACAAAATACCACTAATTCTCACAATATTCATACACTGACACTCAAAAGTTTGGGGTCATTTTTAATTTTTTTATGTGGTTTTTTTATGCTTACCAAGTGATTTTGATTTTTTTTTAAAAAGCAAAGTACAAACAGTAATAGTGTGAATTATTATTATTATAATGTTTTCTATTTTAATATATTTTAAATGTAATTTTCAGCTAAAAACTAGGCCTATTCACTTTTTTGTTTGTTCTTCACACAAAGCTGTTGCATGACTTGAAAAGACTTTGAATATACTTTAGATGAATTGTATGGACCACTTTTATGCTACATTTATGGTGCTATATCCCAACATGAGGATGAATCAGTGATGACAATGGTCATTTCTGGGTGAACTATCCCTTTAATGACAGTGAATTAAACCATAGATTTGTCTTCAAAGTGGGTTTACAGCTGGGTGAACTATTAAAGCTGGCTGAAAATGTCTAAAACTTTTCAGTCTAGGACCCTTTTTTTGGTTAGCATATGCATCAGAGTATGACTCTTAGGATTTATGTTTGGTGTCAGGTCTTTTTTCTTTTTTTTTTAAAGAGGGCTTTTCACCCCCCTCCATCTTTTCATAAATCAATATTTACTATGTAACCTTCCTCTCTCTCTTCAGGGCCAGGAAGCAAATGTGCATCCTGATGGTGCTCTTCAAAAAGCTGTTTGCCCACTGATTTACTGTTGCCTGGTGTTTTTGTTTTGAGAGGCACATTTTGCCATTGGACCAAAGATCCTGTGCGGGTGCAGTCTAAAAAATATTGCCTTCGTCTGTTTGTAGGGTAGCAAACCACATAGCAGGCAGCACAGTGGACAGATGATCTGAGAGAGTGTGAAAGAAAAGAATAAAGGGTGTGGTAGAGTTACAGAATTGTATTTTTCCTCTCTTATTCTGAGGAGAAAGCAAGGCCCCTATCTGGCTCTGTACAGGAGGGGGCCCCACACACTCAGGTTGGCGAACAGGTGGGGCCCACTGTGCAGTGCTAAGTGCATCTCTCCTGTGATTTTGAGGAAATTTAAGCAGAGTGTAAAGGGGTGTATGTGTGTGGTGCTCACCGCTGTGTTGTCTTTGTTTCTCATGTACACAGGCCCTCCAGGCAGCACGCCAGTTCATCCTCCAGCAGGCCACAGGACTCAACTCCCCCAGCAGCAATGAGATCAAACAGAGCCCTGTGCAGGTACGAGTGCCACACACTCAGATTTACAAACATATAGATACAGGCTCATACCATTAACAAACAGAGGCAAGCATATTAATAAATAAATCAGGTTTTTGTCCTTTTCTTTTTGACTTGTTTTGCTTTACCATTAAGGTTGGGCAGTGTATATAAAATATAATGGTAACACTTTGGAATAGGGAACACTTCTCTTAATAAACTTCAAATTTGTTGGTTATTAATTGTTAGTAAGGTAGTTGCTAAGTTTAGGTAAGGGGTGGAGTAAGGGATCTAAAATATGGTCATGCAGAATAAGGCATCAAAATGATTATAAGCACTAATAAACGGCCAATATGCTATTAATATGCATGCTTATAATAGTGAGAATTGGTCCTTAAAATAAAGTGTTACCAATATAATGTATATATGATGATTTTGCTGAATCAAGCAACATCATGAAAATGATGCTTTTAATGTGTTTTATGTTAATTAAAAATTATTATAAAATTATTAGGCTAATTTTACACTACTTGTCCTTTTTTATTCTTTAAGAAAGGTTAATAGTTTTTCTGATATACACTTTTAAAAAGTTGATAAGTTTGATTCATTTTCTTGAATCATTTTAAACTGTTTCATTGAATCAATTCAAAACTCAGATTCACTTATTCATTTACATTGGCACACATACAAATGAAAATGAAAAGTGTAAATATTTTGTTAATTTATGGACATTGAATAAAGTGGAATATAATCAAATTATATAACCAAATAAATAAAAAAGATTCAGCTATGTCACCCACCCCTATGTGTCATCATATTTTACTTTCCCAGATCTTTGTCTATTAAAGTTCTCATTCTGCTTGTCTCCCATCCCCCCTATCTGTACTGTATTAAAGAGTTGAGTTGCGAATGTGGCTCTTTGTAATGAAGAGCTGAACAATGGCACATCTTGAACTTCATTTCTCATTGAGCAGAAGGTTAGCTTCTAGGAGTGCACGTTCCTGTAGCATCTGGTCACACACACACACACACACACACACACAGATATATACAGACACACAGGAATCTTAAGAATAGCGTAGTGTGGAGGGCTCAGATCCATATTTGTCACTTTCAATACAATATCAGGCAAACCTACATGCATGACAATGTACGGTGTATTACTAAAGTATATATATGCTCTAGTGTGCATGCTTTATCTTGGTGTTTCTTGCTGTCTGTAAGATATGCAGTCTTCAAGCCTGCCACGTTGAATTGGGCCAGTGGTGGTAACTGCCTGCTTTAGCACACTCGTCAAATGTGACAAGACACACTCACATGTTTATAGCAGAGTAAAACTGTGCTATCACAGTCATGAAACATGCTTCTTCCTGTAAACACAGTTGTAAGACTAACACAGACTGGCATATAGCTACAGATTAGGGTGCGCTATTATTTAGCCTGATAGAGATGGAGGAGAGAGGAAGACAAACAAGGCAACCCCTAATAAGGAGCAGGAAAAGGGGTGGATGCAGTCAATACAAGCTCAGAGGTGAAAAGTAGAGAGTGCAAGTGAATGAACGAGAAAAAGGGGTGTGTGAGAGCCGCCCAGAGTTTTCAAATCATCAATAATCCAGGAGGAATGCTAGCTGACAGTTTAAATGACCGTGTTGAGAGGTTTTCCCTTCAGGGTAATTAACATTATCAAGGAACAGCAGGTTACCTCGTTAGTGGCGCACTCATTTAATTAACAAACCACACTAATTAGATTGAACCCTGGGCTGAAGTTTGCTTCGGTGTGCTCGTTGAGCTAAAGAAAAGTCAAGAAGAGGAAAATCAAGGGAACATTTTTATCAGAGTCCCTTTTTTCCACTAGTTGCTTTTTTGTCGATGGACCTTTTGATGATTGATGTGGCTTATTGAACAGGTTTCGCTCCTTTCCTGTTTAAATTGTGGTGTTTGATAAAGCAAGCATCACTTTTACCATTGCTTATACTTAGGGGATAGCTCACTTAAAAGGATAATTTACATAAAAATGTACTTACTTTCCTCTGTAGAACCAAAAGATATATAAAATAAAAGCCTCTTTCTTCAGAATAACATCTCTTGTGTTCCACAGATGAAAGAAAGTCATACAGGTTTGAAAACAACACTGTTTTCATTTTTGGATTATCTTTCCCTTCAAGTATTAATTAAACTTCAGTACGTAACTTGTCCCATATTGTTTAGGCTACAGACATGAATGATATCTCAAAACATGCAGTTTGTTTAGAAGACTTGTGCTATTAGTTTCATTTCACTCTTTTGAAGACAGGACTTGCACTGAAAAGGGCTCTAAACATATCTAGGGATCAGAAGTGTCTTTTGGTGCAGTTTTACACAAGAGTTGATCACATTTTCGCTCTAAAAGTAGTTAGAGAACTTATAGACTACTGTGTTCTCAGGCTGGATGTTATAAAGCAGTGTTCACACACCATGATTTGATGTGTACTAATGAACTCTATAGACCTCTGTCGACCCATGACCCTCAGCAGAGGCGAGGCTTTTTGTTTTGGGCTTCTAGGGAGAAGTCTTTCCCATCTCAGCACAAGGCCACCCTGAATGCTGATAAAGTTGAGCCCATGAGATTCTGCTTTGTAGTATCACTTCCTCATCCACTGCTCCAGGGCATCAACCCTCAACCCCGACCCTTCCCTGCCACACTGTCTGTACATTCTGAGTTCTGCTGTAGGGTTTAAGGGACTGCAAACCGGCCCTTGTTTGTCTCACTGCGGAGTGTTTCCATTACTCTTAACTCTAAAACAAGAAAAATGTCTGGTGTGTAGATTTACGAGTCATGTTGGAGGACTCGATTTTTTTTGTAGTGACGCGTCATACCACTTATGCTTTTACGAAAAGGCCTTCAGCTGTTCGACAGCTAGCCATCAAGTGACTCTTACTGTTATACCACCTCTCTTTTAACTCTCAGGGTCTTATTTCAAATGTTTTTTTTGGTTTTTTTTAATTTCTAAAATGCCTCAGGTTCAGCAGGGTGTTTGAAGCTGTTGTCCAATAGCAGGGAAAGCAGGGCATGGAAGTCATTTAACCTAGTCAAAAAATGTAGCCTGACAGAAAATGGCCGCCAGTCGAGTTAACTCCTTGCAGGGTCTTTTTGAAGATGTGAATGCAGTGTGATGAACAAAGAAATCTTTTGGTGCCTGATAATTAGATTTTTCCTCTTCATCACTGACAAAGAAGGCAGAAGTTACATTACAGAGGTTTTTGTCTGAATATTCCAGAACCTTGGCTGTGACCAACAGGTTCTTCCCTAATATGAATTATTTGGCTCAGACTTGTCTCTCGTTCTCGCTTAATATTCTTTGGGTTTTTTTGGGACAGTCAGGGCTAAAGAATCATAGACAGTATATATGTGTGTATATACAGTATGTGTATGTATATATATATATATATATATATATAAAGTCTATATGTAACCCTGGAATAAAATCCACACTTTTTAAAGGCTCCATTACACTGTAGGAGTATTTTTATCTGTGTGTATAAGGTGATGAAAAGGGCATAGAATTTATCATGGCTATATAGACCCATTTTACATGCACACATGTGGCTCCAGTCCCATCTCTGTTGGTAATTGAAAAGAAAAAGTGTCCTCTTTTCATGTATTATTGAGGACCTCGTTTAATTAAAAAAAAAAATGAAAAGACTCATTAGAGACATGTTAATTAGTTTCCTTCTCTTGAGCGTTGATAGAGAGGCTGCGTTGCCAGGGTAGCACTGGATGATGGGAGCCCCGCATCCGAGATGATCCTATAGAGAGATGAGTGACGCCACCTCTGTGTGGTCAAGAACCTCGGGCTCATTTTTACAGCATGAACTATGAAAGCCCTTCGACCCTAATGAAAATTTACCTCTTGTGTTTGTTCTTCATCACGGTAAAACACAATGCAGCGCTTCTCATGCAAATAGCCACTTAAGAGCAGGTTTTGATAAGAATTCTTTGGCGTTTTTTTGGAAACAGACACGTATATAGACATCTCAAATCAATGGGTAAAAAGACCATCCGTACTGGACCGAGCCCTTTTTCTTGAACTTTTGTTTTTGAAAACTCTCTGTTTTGTCCATTAAGTGGAAATGCTTAGTCTGCACTTTTTTTCCCCTTTTCAAAGAGGCTGTTTTGAAGAGAGAGAGGGTTAGAGAGGGTGACCCGGAATGCGAGAGGCCTGACAGATTGAAGACGGCGAGAGAAAGAGAGAGCGAGAGGAGAAACACCCAGGGCCGCAGTGGCCGTTTCAGAGTTTGGGTTTGAGCAGTGGAGTGTAAAAGTCCATTTTTTGATCTGAAACATGAGTGAAAAGTGTAATGAACGCGGTCGATAATGGGCTTTTATATTTCCGCACCCCAGTCATCTCTTCTGTTGTGTTCCACTGGAAATTTGTTGTCATTTTTATTCTGGGGCAGTGAGGCGTTAGATAGAGCCACAGATGTGTGTGTGCGAGGGACGTCCGCAGAAAGCGAGGGGACTAATGGAAGAGGGATATGGAAGACGGAGTGGTGGGGGGATTTTCCACTTGAACTTGCCCGATTCGGGGCACTCGCGCAACGGCGGATTTTCATTTGTCCGAATGCTGTCCGAACGCTGTCAGAGAAAGCGGTCCCCAGATGCCAGCTCTGAACTGGGTGAAAATAAGCGAGTGACAGCCCAGAATTCTCTGCTTCTCTGGAGTCGCTCAGCCCTGCAGGCCCCGGTGGCTGGCTTTTATTACACACCGCGCACATAACGACATGCCATTGCAAACAAAATCGCCCGCACCGCCACCATGTACTGTATAAGAAGCGCGATATGATAAATACCTGTGGGAGGTAATGGGGCTAACTTGGGGGGGGGGCAATGATGGGGGTTTTTAGACAAATTAGCTTGTGAAAAGGTGGCTGTGTGCTCCAGGACCCCTCTATATAGCCTGGAAGACATCATCACAGAACCACCTGGTAACAGCGCCTGCAGCCTTTCAGCGGGCCTGTTATTAAAATGACAGGCCTCTTTA